ACAGACAGACAGACAGACAGAGAAACTTGTATAGGCACATGCAGGTTGGCATGCTGAATTCCGTGTCGCACTTCTACTTTTACACTACCTCAAAACCGATACGGGCGCACACGTGAGTGCATGTCTGTGGGCCAAAGATGCTGTGCACGGCTATACGAGTAGGTATGGCATTCGACAAGTAGCTGACCATGCATACAATCTTGCAACGATAGTTGAAGGGTAGGGTTGGGCCTGTTAGAATAAATCTTCACACTCAGTCGCGGACCACTCCTGCCGAGGCTGCATCCTCGTCCCAGCAACGAGCTTTGCAAAAGTCTTGCACGAAGCTCCTTATTTGAGCACAGCCAGCATAAGTCCTGATGCCTACGGACAGGTCTTGTTTAAACAAAGATGCTGGCACTAAAACTTGCGGGTCGGGTAAGCCTGGAGATGGCAGTGCTTGGTGAGTTTGAAGGGCTCTGAGCGTGGTAGGGCTGGCGGCTTAGGGTGAAGTCGCTTCGAGGATTTGCAGAAGAACATAAGGTTGTGAGTGATGTAGCGCGGATACTACAGTCTGATGAACACGGCTGCAGGCAGGTGCATCACGGAAAATGCAAGCCAACTACCAAAAGGCACACACATGATCCCAAGTGTCAAACATGTGCATACACATCCCTCAAAAAGAGTGATGATCCTGCTTATCTCTTCAGTCTATACAGCTGCACTAGCCATTCCTATATGTACATATATATCTACATTCACCTACATATGTATATACACACAGAATCACACTCGTATGCTCGCATGAGTGTATGTAATGTATGCATTTAAGCATGCTCAATGTCAATGTATGTATGGATGAATTTGAAGGTGGATCTATATATACACAGATACGTAGCTAGATAGATAGATAGATAGATGGACAGATAGATAGATAGATAGATAGATAGACAGATAGATAGGTGTGGATGGATAGATAGATGGATAGTTACATAGGTAGATACACCTACATCTTCTATATACATATATATATATATATACTCAATATGTGTATGTATATGTGTACGTATGTATGTATGTATGTATGTACGTACGTACGTACGTACGTACGTACGTATGTATGTATGTATGTATGTATGTATGCAGGTAGGTAGGTAGGTAGGTAGGTAGGTAGGTAGGTAGGTAGGTAGGTAGGTAGGTAGGTAGGTAGGTATGTGTCTATATATGTTTCACATAACTACATTTTGAGTTCTAGAG